ATAACACGTTGGCGGGCACTGGGAAGGGAAAAGAGAGAGTCATAGATTATAGGACTGGAAGGGACCTCGAGAGGTCATCGAGTCCAGTCCCCTGCCCGCATGGCAGGACCAAATACTGTCTAGACCATCCCTGATAGACATTTATCTAACCTAGTCTTAAATATCTCCAGAAATGGAGATTCCACAACCTCCCTAGGCAATTTATTCCAGTGTTTAACCACCCTGACAGTTAGGAACTTTTTCCTAATGTCCAACCTAAACCTCCCTTGCTGCAGTTTAAGCCCATTGCTTCTTGTTCTATCCTTGGGGGCTAAGATGAACAAGTTTTCTCCCTCCTCCTTATGACACCCTTTTAGATACCTGAAAACTGCTATCATGTCCCCTCTCAGTCTTCTCTTTTCCAAACTAAACAAACCCAATTCTTTCAGCCTTCCTTCATAGGTCATGTTCTCAAGACCTTTAATCATTCTGGTTGCTCTTCTCTGGACCATTTGCTTTGCCGGTGGGAGGGGAGCGATGGTCATGAAACGTGGGTGACAGCTGATCTCACTGGTGGGAGGAAAGCCTCCCTAATGGAGCCATGCGAGGTCCCACTGTGTGTTTGGAGAGAGACTGCCAGGGGGCAGGAACCCATCTATGCTAGAGAACATGAGTGAAGGAAGTAGCCACCCTGCAGAGGGCCACGGAGGGGCCTGGGCTGGTGGCCATGTACACAGCCATGGTCCCTTCAGCAATAGTTGTACAATTTTAGGTCCCCCAGCTGCTGGAATGGAGGATGAGGGTGTCCCCTCCCTTGAATTCCACTGCTGGAGGCAGAGGGTGAGCTGCGGTGGTGCGGGCAGTAGGTTGCCCTCCCAGACTGCCCTGTTAGCTGGTGGGGGACTGGCAGGGAACACTTCGACACCTCAGATGGGCTGAGATTTAAGGGGCAAATTTAGATCCAGTGTAAGTGGGGTCAGATCCACGCTGCGGTGTCTGCTAGATCCACCCCCATTTCACAACGGGCCCCCGAGTCACGCCGCACTGTGAATGCCCAGGGCGGGTCGACCGGTTTCCAGCAACATCTTTTTTTGAAAAAAGGCTTTTTGAGCAAAATGAAAATATGTTTTGGTAAAACACTTCGGGAGTTTTGAAAACTGGAAAATTTGACTGGAAATGTTTTTTTTAAAACTACAGATCTTTTGGGGTTCTGCTTTTTTATAGAAAAACTAAAAAAAAATCCTGGAAAATTAAAACAAAGAAAGAAACCCCAAACCAAACAAACCTCCACAACTTTCCTCCCACAAAATTTCCTGCAAAAAACAACTGGCATTTTCTGGCCGTTTTTAGGCAGGAACACACACAGGCAGTATATACTGCCACCTGATGAACCAACTGTGAAACATTCACCTGCCTTCGATTGTTTGTTGTACGCACATGGCGATAGTATTGCTTAGTTTCAATAGGCAACGGTGCCAATCCCGTTCCCTGCCTAATGCGGATCCTAGTTCTGCTTCCTGCGGTGAATCGATCTGAGACATTTCGAGTGAGGGTGTTGTCTGCTTCCGCCTGTTGTCCTGTCAAAGCAGCCGGGTCTTTGTGTCCTGCTGTGAATTGTGGAGGGAGCTCTAAGACCCTCTCTAACCCGGTGCGTCTCAAAGGCCGGTGGTGCTGCCTCCTCACCGTTAATTTGCAGGTAGAAGGACATCTCCTGCGTGTCATCCTCATGGGATGCCCGGATGGTGTAGAATCCCCCTTCATTCTGCTTCACTCGCACCAGGGTCAGAGTCGGTTTGGTACCTGGAGGGAAAAGGATCCCAGAGCAGTGAAGATGGGAAGACGCTCCCTGCTGCCCAACAAGCGTACTGGGGTGAGTCGCTCCCATCCAGCCGAACCCTGAGGCTTGCACAGAAACCGAGTCAGGATCAATATGGAGGATCCCCCACCACGTAGATGGCTAGTTCTGGCTGGGCACTGAGAATTCCCGTCCCCCTGCTCCACTCAGGATGGGAGTGGTTGTATTGCTGGGCTCTAGCCACACCCATTTCTGGGGGGAGGGCTGTGTCCCACCTACAGGGGCCACCTCACCTGTTTTCCAACAGGTTCTTGCTGGTGATGATGAATGCGCTGCTGTTCCCCACCCTCAGGGTCTCATTGTCCTTCAGCCACAGGATGGTTGGCTGCGGATAGGCCTCGATCTGCACCTGGATGATGCGACTCTTGTGTACCTCGGCAAACTCGACGTCGTTCAGACCAGTGTGGAACCTCACAAAGCCACGCTCTGCAGAGGGTTCAGAGAGAGGCAGGGTCAGCACCCCCATCCCAGGGCCTGCTCCCAGGAAAGGAGAAGGAGCAGGGAGGCTTGGGGGAGACAGAGAGAAGGGTGGGAGGGGGTAGGGCTGCCAACTTTCTACTCGCACAAAACCAAACACTCTTGCCCCGCCCCCACCCCGCCCATCCTCTGAGGCCCTGCCCATGCCCCACCCCTTCTCTGAGGCCACCCCCTCCTTCTGTCGCTCGCTCTCCCCACCCTCACTCGCTCATTTTCACTGTGCTGGCTCAGGGGGGGGGTGAGGGCTCTGGCTGGGGGTGCGGGCTCTGGGGTGGGGCCAGGGATGAGGGGTTTGGGGTACAGGAGGGGGCTCCGGATGAGGGGTGGAGCTGAGGGGTACGGAGTATGGGATGAGGCTCCGGGCTGAGGCAGGGGGGTCGGGTGAGGAGGTGAGGGCTCCGTCTGGGGGTGCAGACTCTGGGGTGGGGCTGGGGATGAGGGGTTTGGGGTGCAGGATGGTGCTGCAGACTGGGACCGAGGGGTTCGGAGGGCAGGAGGGGGGATCAGGGCTGGGGCAGGGGCTTGGGGTGCAGAGGAGGCTCAGGGGTGCAAGCTCAGGACGGTGTTTACCTCGAGCAGCTCCTGGAAGCTGCAGCATGTCCTCCCTCCGGCTCCTATGCAGAGGCACGGCCAGGCGGCTCTGTACGCTGCCATGTCCGCAGGCACCACCCCTGCAGCTCCCATTGGCCGTGGTTCCTGGCCAATGGGAGCTGCGGGGGCGGTGCTTGGGGCGGGGGCAGCGTGCAGAGCACCCTGGCTGCCCCATGTGTAGGAGCTGGAAGGGGGACATGATGCTGCTTCCCGGGAACCGCACAGCATGGAGGCTAGCAGGGAGCCTGCCAGACCCACTGTACAGTGGCACCAACCGGACAGTCATCAGCCCCGTCAGCGGTGCTGCCTGGAGCTGCCAGGATCCCTTTTCGACCGTGAGTTCCGGTCCAAAACCGGACACCTGGTCACCCTAGGAGGGGGATCTGGCTACTCGCCACATGGATACACATCTGTCTCTGTTAAGGGTAGAAATGGCCCAATGCCCCTGAAATCTCGGGGCAATTTGATCTGGATCCAATCTTTGAGCCTCAGACCCATCTTTAGTTGGAGGATGGTCCTTCCAGGGTCTGTGAGGGGTGCTCTGGAGACCGAGGGCTTCTAGGAAGCTAGCAAAGCTCGCAGCAGGGGAGGAGTTTGTTATTCTGAAGGGGAAGGTTTCACCCAATAAAATCCAGTTAAAAACGAGAGGAATTACACGCACAGGGACACTAGGCGAGTGTGTTTGGCCAAACCAGCTCCTGTATCCGGGGGAGGCTGTAGCAGAGGCTCATCTCAAGGGGCCTCAGGGCTCCTCGGCCCAGCATGGATGAGTAGCTCATTGTCTCTTGCCCATGGCTATAAGCAAGATGCTGGGGTTCTCCTAGATGTGGGAGAAAGTGGGGATGATTCTAGGCCTCCTTGCGGGGGGGGGGGTGAGTGACTTTCTGGGAGCAGGGGTTGCCAGGGCCATGTGGAAGAGGGATGAATCCAGGCGTGTGTGGCTTGGGGAGAGATATAAACTGGACATTAGGAAGTTTAGACTTGAAATTAGATGAAGGTTTCAAACCATTAGAGGAGTGAAGTTCTGGAACAGCCTTCTAAGGGGAGTAGGGGGCAAAAGACATATCTGGCTTCAAGACTAAGCTTGATAAGTTTATGGAGGGGATGGTATG